TCTGCATAAATAAATTATTATTGATTGAAAAGCGATCGGCCAGCCCAAGCTGCGCCCCCCCTCTTCCCTGCATTCAGCAGCGCCGGCCGCGAAAGGTATATATGATTAATTGAAAGATAAGCTGCAACTATCACCCGGAATGTCATTAATGCGCCGGGGAGACGTCCATTGGAGACAGGCGGCGTTATCCGTGGCTTTATCTTCAACAACGCCTCGCTCTCTTGGCCCGCGCCGGAGAAACAGATGGGGGTTTCTGTCTGGGACGCTCGCCCCGTGTTTATATTTTGGGAAGAATCGCAACTCTAGGGAGTCCCCGGCGGGCCCCCTGATAAATGAACATTAGCACTTTTTCGGACTACTGTATCAACAAAGGGGCCGCGGCGCAGCAATAATTGGCGAGAAAGCAAACAGAGGGCCGGGCCGAGAGCGCGACTCTGCTCTTCGTCCGGCTGATGGATGAGCAGCGGCCGCCTCCCGGCCTGGCCGGGGCTTCCTTCCCGCAGGTCGCGCAGGCCCGCCGGGCTCTGCATCGAGGGAAGCCCCGGGCAGCAAGTACCCAGCCCTCCCTGCTGCTGTAGCCAGCACCCGCAGAGGTGCATCGCGGGTCCTCTTACCAGACTACCTGGCTAAGAGAATGAGGTCACAGGAGGGAGTGACGTGCTCCAGGCTACTTAGACTAGAAGCGTCGATGGCCATTGGGGTTACTTCGCTGACTCTAGAGCTGGGCATGTTTTCCTGTTTGTCAATGGGGAAAAAATTAAATAAATAAAATAAAAAAATAAATAAATAAAAGTCGCCTGCTCACACTGCCACACTGTCCTATAGAAGGAGAATGCACAAAGTTGAGAGAGAGAGAGAGAGAGGATTTGAGGTGTAACTACGTCCTTTTCTCCTCTCTGCCTTATTGAGATTTAATTCACTCACCATACACCACAATCAGTTTGGGAACATTTTCATCACCCTCTAAAGAAACCTGCAACCTTCCTCCTCCCCCCTTCTCTCCCCAGCCACCACTAATCTACTTTGCCCCTCTAAGGATCTGCCTCTCCTGAGTGGTTCATACAAACAAAATCATATAATATGTGACCTCTTCTGTCTGGTACCTCTCACTTGGCAGAATGTTACCCAGGTTCCTCCACTCTCTGACATTAATCAGCACTTTCTTCTTTGTAGCAGCTAAATACTATTCAGTTGCGTAGATATGCTGTTTTTGTTTACTAAGTCATTAGTGAAAACACTCTTGGGTGTTTTCGCCTTTTTCCTTTCTCCAGTCCACTCCTGCCTGCACAGACGGGGGAAAACCTTCCTCTTTACCCTCTGTTTTCAATCCTGTCCTTCCCCAGTGGGAACTGAGTTTCCTGTAATATTCTGTTCTTGCTGTAGCCCAGTTCTTGATTTTTAAAAAAGTTGCCAGATTTTCCTTTCCTACTAAGCTCACAGTGTCTGCTTTCCGGTCATCAGGGATTACTAACTCCACATAGTCCAGGTCCTGATTGCTAGCCTGGTTTTTGACTTCCATTGCCCCAAGGTACAAGGCTGTGGGCCAGTGGAGCCAGGCAGAGAGCCTTCCCTCCTGGGTGCTGTTTTCAGGCGTCTGTGCAAAGTTATCCCATTACCAGGAAGAATCGAAAGCCAGAGAAGGGAGGCACAGTCCACCTGGTAAAGGACTGTGTGTCTGTCTAAGAGAAGTCAGGACTCCAACCTGCCTCCAGATTGACCCAGAGTCAACTCCCTTGGAGGTATTTGTTCTGACTTTCTCTACCCCTTCGCTCACACTGACCAGGTGGGTAAAAGTGCTCCCCGAGCAAGCCTGAGTGTGATTCTCAGAAACCCGTGGTGTCATCTGACCTCCACAAGTGTGCCGTGGCACCTGAACTTGCACACAACAGACACATGATGATTTCTAAGTGGTATTCATGATAAGGATAATCATTTGGAATGTTTGCTTATTTTTGAGGGTGAATGAGGCATTAAAAACATTGCCCAAAATACCATAAATAGAATCAAAGAAAAAATAATCCAGACAGAAAATGCTAGAAATACGTGACAAAATTATGAATTTTAATAATATACACAGAAAGAGTTCTGGTAAATCAATAAGAAAATTGGAACACTTGGAAAATTGGCCAAGAGTAGTAGGAACTTACTGGAAAAAAGGGAAGAAAGTAAATAAAAAGGAAAAAAGTAAACAAATGTTAACTATATCAGAGAGGTAAATACTTTATATATCAGATTGACAAATGTAAAAAATTTGGCATCCCTAGCTTCCCAACTAATGATGAAGTTGAGCAAAATTAGAAAAAAAAAGTGCACACTGATCTGTACTGTGGACATAGTTGAATGGAAGAGGGCTTGCTCGCTTAGCATTCCTGAGGCCTGGGCTTGATACTCCGGTTTGATGGCCTCTGCCCAGGGACCGACCGACCGACCGTCTGTGTGGTTCAGTGGAAGAATAATTGAAAACCCTCTCCGGAGCAGTCTGGTTCTGTCAACACGTAAAATGCACAAGCCCTTCGAAGGAATGGTTTCACTTCCAGTATCTATTTGCAGATACACACGTGTATGCAAATAAAATGCTTTCTTTGCACTTTATTTTTTTAAGAATGAAAATATTTAAAAAACAACCCAGTATATTTATCTTGGAGACAGGTTAAAAATCATGTTATACCAATAGAACTGCAGACATAAGGGAGAAAGAGTTCCATTTGTACCTGTCAGTATGGGTACATTTTGTGATACATCACATACCTAAACAAGCTGCAGGTGGACTCTTTCCCTTCCTGAGCCCTGTGTGTGCAGGCAAGCCCTCCACCACGGAGCTACACTGACAGTTTGGATCTTATTTATTTATTTAACTTATATGTATGTGTGTGTTCATGGGGGGGGGTATCAGAAGACAACTTACCGGAGCTAGCTAGCTCTCACCTTGCATGAACGCAGATCCTCAGGCACGTTAGCAACTAGCCACCTTTTACCCACCAAGACCAATCACCAGCACTTTTTTTTTTTTTTTTTTTTTTTTTTTTTGGTTTTTTGAGACAGGGTTTCTCTGTGTAGCTTTGCGCCTTTTCTGGAACTGGCTTTGGAGACCAGGCTGGCCTCGAACTCACAGAGATCCGCCTGCCTCTGCCTCCCGTGTGCTGGGATTAAAGGCGTGCGCCACCACCGCCCAGCCACCAGCACTTATTAATTAATCATTAATTTTGAGACAGAGTCTCACGAGGCTGGCCTTGAGCTCTGGATCTCCTGTCAAGTCCTGAGATTGCATGTGTCCTCCACCATCACTACCCATTTTTTATTGCTGTTTGGTGTTCTGTAGCCAAGCTTGGTCTTGAACTCACAGCAGTCCTCCAGCCCCAGCCTCCTAAATGCTGGGGTGACAGGTGTGAGCCACTACACCCCTGTTGTACTTTATGGATTTTTTTTTTTTTTTTTTTTTTTTTT